GGCAGATACGGGCCCACCAACTTCTCCGAGGTTCTCCGCACCGGATCACCAAACTGGCGGTGGCCGAAAACGCCAACCAGTCACCATCCGACTATAGGAGAATTTCAGATTCATCGGGGTTTCCCAGGACTTGGTCCTACGCCCTGAGAACCCGTAGCCGCCTCGTGCCCCCCTTAAAAACTATTCTATCTGTCATTTATCTTTTTAAAGCTTACTTTCACAATTTATGGTCGATGGTCGAATAAACAAGGCACACATATCTCCTAAATGTATCTTTATTTATTCTTTAGTCTCCTAGAATCCAAACAAATCCATTCTTTTGCCATCCAAAAAATTATATTGCCTTACGTATTACTTATTATCATTTTATACTCTCTTTTCCTTCTTTTCTTACTTCTTTCAACTTTCACCCATCTAACGTCTACAATCTTTTTACATATTTTACAATTTTCTAACAAAATTAACCCATGTTTTGACAAATTCCCATGCTGAATCAACATCGCTATTACCTTCCCTGCTCCACCTTTCACACACCCAAGCTAAAAACGCGTTTATTTTATTTACGCATCTTTTTTACACACCTCGTCTTTTCACCCTATATTTTTACGCTCTTATTATTACCTGCTTCAAGGAAAACGTTTCACATTTCCAAACGCTTTTTCTTTTACACATCTTATTTACACATTTACGAGTTACTTCTTCCTGCCCTCCCTTCGTTACACATTTTTCCCCCCAAGCTCGCACATAACCAACGAGATAATACAATTTCTCATTTCCTTCTTCCTCTTGTTAATCCTCTTGCTGTTCGTTGTTATCTGTCACAATCCACTTCTCCAGATGCATCGTCCATCCATGCTCGCAGGGCAATTTATACAAAGGAAAACAAACAGATACGATAAGCTATAACTACATAAGAGATAATTAAAATTATCCTTCGCGTTGTATGTACCACCATTTGCGATCAACGTACATTTGCTCTAAATTTTCAGATGCACAAAATATCTCACACAGCTCAGATTAACGAAAAACTCTGCAACCGTGGAACATGCGCTCCTCAGACTGCCGAGACACTATCATGAACTACGTAGAGTTCGGATCGATGTCCAATAAACTATTCTAATATTTTCGAATAAATTTAATATATTATATATAAAATACTATATAATATATATACTATATACTTCACTATATAATATATACTATATACATTAGGTGGTAATGACAAAATCCGCAATCACTTAGTTGCCAACCCAGTATTACGTTACATAGTATTACGCTGTATAGTATTACGTTATATCGTATTACGTTATGTAGTATTACGGTATACTATATTACGTTATAATGTATTACGTCAGATAGAATTACGTTATATAGTATTATGCTATATATTACGTTATAACGTATTACGTTATATAGTATTACGCTATATAGTATTACGTTATATCGTATTACGTTTTCTAGTATTACGGTATTACGTTATAATGTACTACGTTATATAGTATTACGTTATATAGAATTACGTTATATTATATTACGTTATATAGTATTACGGCATATTATGTTAGGTTATACTGTATTACGTTATATACAATTATATGATATAATATTACGGTATATTATATTACGTTGTAGAGCATTACGTTATATTGTATTACGTTATACTGTATTATGCTATATTATATTACGTTATAATGTATTACGTTAATGAGTTATTTTATATAGTATTACGTTATAATGTATTAAGTTATAATGTATTGGGTAGACAACTAAGTGATAGCGGATTTTTCATTAAGTGGTAATGACAAAACTCTCAGTCACTTAGTTGCCAACACAATATTACGTTAAATAGTAATACGTTATGATATATTACGTTTTATAGTATTAGGCTGTTTAGAATTACGTTATGTTATACTACGTTATACTGTTACGTTACGGTATTTGGTATTACGTTATATTATATTACGTTATATTGCATTGCGTTATATACAATTACATGATATAGTATTACGTTATACTATATTACGTTATACTATATTACGTTATAATATATTACGTTATGTAGTATTACGGTATATTATATTACGTTATAATGTATTACGTCAGATAGAATTACATTATATAGTATTACATTATATTGTATTACGTTATATTATATTGCGTTATACTGTATTATGCTATGTTATATTACGTTATAATGTATTACGTTATATAGTATTATGGTATATTATATTGCGTTATAATATATTACGTTATATAGAATTACGTATTATTATATTACGTTATATAGTATTTCGTTATATTATATTACGTTATACTGTATTATGCTATATTATATTACGTTATAATGTATTACGTTAATGAGTTATTTTATATAGTATTACGTTATGATGTATTAGGTTATAATGTATTGGGTAGAAAACTAAGTGATAGCGGATTTTTCATTAAGTGATAATGACAAAACCCCCAGTCACTTAGTTGCCAACACAATATTACGTTAAATAGTAATACGTTATGATATATTAAGTTTTATAGTATTACGCTGTTTAGAATTACGTTATATTGTATTACCTTATATTGTATCACGCTATAATGTATTACGTTATATAGTATTACGAATTATTCAAATCATTTTAAGATAAGAGAACATAAATTAGATCTTAAATGTATGTAATTTGTAAAAACTGTATTATAAATATTCATATCATTTTATAGCTTAAAGTTATTAAATTATATACATGCTTACATTACGTGGACTTATGTTATATAAGCACCTATATATATATCGCAATAATCATAAGATCATAAATTAAAATGTGTTTCAATAATGTAATAACTTGCATAGATTCTTTTTCAATAACAAAGACATAGTTTACTATGATATTTATAATATACGTATGTGTTTTTAAATTAATTTATATACTATTATTATAGAATATTCCTTAAATTAGTATTAAAATGTCGTATAACTTCTTAAATATTATATAAGTTTTTACTTACAGCTTAACAATTAATAGAATTATCTAATTAATTAATAGAATTAATAGAATAATTTAATGTACATTTCAAAAACAACAATTGCATATTAAATTGTTCACAAAATCATATGTATAATTGAAGAAAATTATGGTAACAATAATCGTATACTGCATAATATTAATATTTAAAGATTCATGGTTCTAAAATCTCATTATAAATTCTTTTTTTTAATAGTATCTACTATCTTGGAAGAGAAGTCTAAATAGTTTAATTATATTCAAAGTGACTAGAAATGTTGCTATTTTTTTTTTGGGGGGGGGGCTATTAATAGATATTTCTTATTTTGGCAAGAATGATGTATTGTAAATTTGGGAAATCATGAACAAGTTTTTAAAAATTTATAATACTTATTTTTAAATAATACTTTCTAAAATTATTTACCTGTACATTAAGCAATGAAACATATATATATATGTATGTATGTATGTATGTACAAAACAAATTATTGTTTGGGCTATATACATAAAAATCATTTTATAAGGGATAGGAGAAGATACAATTTTGGGAATATCGACCATAAATGGCAGTTCGCCATGAGTATGGAATGATTAATTCTCAATGCTAATGGGAGTGAGTTACCAGGAAAACCTGATGTGCAATAAAAGTATTAAAATTTAATGTAAAATAAAGGATGTAGAATATATATTACAATATAAATGTTCTCCAATTTAGTACCTCATTTACTGATCATTTCTCTAAAGTTTATAAAAGCGATCAATAATGTAACGTTATATTGTTGAAAACTTAGGATGGACGGAATCCATATTATTGGATTTAGGTGCTATTCAATAAGAGTAGAAAATCCAGATATTGATTAAGTTCTACAATGTAGAAACAATTTTATTTAACTTACTACGATTTGAATTAAGAAATCTTAGCTACATTATGAGATCAGTTGAGGATTTAATTACTAGTGACGTTTTAGAATGTCAAGAAAACGTAAAAGAGAATTTGGAAGTGACGTGATTTGATACATGATATCGAATGGATTTAAAATGTTGTTAAACTGATAGAGATCAATGATAATGTGGTGACAAAAAGTGCTTAATGGGTATAACATTGCAAGATAGGTGCGGAAACGTGTGTCTATCCCAGTATTCATTGGATACATATTAGTAGAGCTTACACCTTCCGTTTCCTTGTAAGATGGGCCCCAGAAGTATCTACAACATAGCATGTATGTTACTAATATGATTTTGAGCCTTCCAAAACATTGAATAAATGTATGAAATCTCTTATATAAGGAAATATCTTCGAAAACAATCGCTAATACCAACCAATATCTATTTTTGTCCAAGCACTTTATCTTGGAATGCTCCTCCAATTATCTACGATTATATTTTGCATCTAATTTAAAGGCAATTCATGAGAAGATTTTCTTCATGACAGTTTTTCCTTTACTTTTTCAACAGTTTTACACATGCAAAGATTTGCATTTATATAATAAGTGAGGTATTGACATTGTAAAAAATCACTTATTACGGATTTACTGCTCTAACGATTCACACCCAAATAAAACATATTCTTCTCTTGACAACCAAAATGGATTACCTTCTATATATTCTGGTGGTGTCTTGTCTAAAATAGTGATTACAGTAAATGAATTATATACATGCACATATTGTTTTAGACAAATAAATGTCTTTTACATAAAGATTATTATATATTTACCAGGATGTACAGCTAAAGGCACGTATGTGGAACCCATTGCAACATTCCAACTATGAGTACCAGGACAACTTCTTACTTCTAATATCTTGCTGTGCTCTGGTAATAATTCTCGTAAATCTTTAGTCAATCTTAGCCCAAAACCTGAAAGGTGTGTATTGCCTCCAGTGAGCAAAATGTGTGAGAGACAATCATGCAATATTTCTTCCGATAAACCAGACGTTACATCTTTTATCACTTGTGGTAAACCAAGGTCGATATACATCATTTCGGGAGCAATATATAATTCTGAACCCAAGGAAACTCTCTAAAAAATGTAAATAATTATTATAACAATAAACATTGTAAAGGACTTTAACTGTATGAATACATGTGTAAATTCACTAACCAAAAATTGCTTATTATCAGTATAACTTCGAACTCTAACTTTAATACATTCTTCATTTTTTTGTCCTACTCTTCTCTCTTCATTTTTGATATTGTAACTTAATCTACACCTTTCTTTAATAGGTAATGTATCCAGATATGATATAGGAATATGATAACATCCTTTTAGATACCAATGCATAGCTTGTTTTAGATGGTATGCTACATGCCAACCACCAACAGGTAATAATCTCCAACGTTGTGGTATAACACGTCCACCAATTACAACAGCTACCGTTGTACTTAAAGCACCACTATCAACTACGACACAAGTTTCCACATCCAGCATTGCACATGCTGCTAAAGGTTTAGGAACCAGACATACTCTAGAAATTTATTTACTTTATAAAAGAATACCTTCTTACAATATAATTTTTCTATCTTACCTTGATACCTTGACTTCTTGGAACAAGTAATGCAACAATTGTTTTCTTAGCATTGGATGCATAGCTAATGGTTCACAGAACATGAGCACTGCATTGGGTTTCCTTAATGTTGAAGTTAATCTCATTTGATGAAACAAATGACCAACAAATGTTTTAAGAACAGGAAATGTTCCATCACTTAATAATGCTTCTGCTGGACTAACAAGATCAACATTTGGAATTCCAAGTACTTCAACGGTATCAGTGCAATATCCATTTATAAGTTTCTCATAAATTGGATTTGGCCTCGCATAACATGTTGGATCATTTTGATGAGTAATTAATCTCTTTTTTTCTCTATATAATTTAACAGAATTACAAAAAACACAAAATGGGCCACTAGGTCTAGGGATTTTAGCGGTTGCTAATTCAGATAATTTCAATAGTTTTAACTTTTTAGCTAGTGATTTGCCATCACATTTTGGACGTGTACTACTACTTGGGACATTTTGTGTTTGTTCCAAATATGTTTCATTATTATATTTAGGTACACCAAACATTGAAAAATGTCTTCTTAATTCAAAGTGTGGCTCAATAACCCATGTATACTTATTTCCAATTTCAATTACTACTTTTGCGCTAGAACCTTCAACGCAATTTCTTTGACATGTATAACCACTGCAGTGACGACATTTTGGGAAATGAACATTTTCTCCCAATGTAATTACCATATATAATCTATAGCACATTGCTTTAAAGCTGACACTAAGTAATTGTAAACACTTTATATCTGGAAATCTAAAATGTACTTTTGAAATCAATTGTAGCCACTTCATTTTCCTGGAAAGACATGAGTGAATTCTATAAATAGTTGATAGCAGTAGTTTTTTAAATATACATTCATTTTTAAAATTGTGTATATTTTAATAGAGTCAATAAATGGTAAATTCCTTTTATACAAAGAAATTTTATGTGATAATTATGAACTTTGCGGAAGTTTGTCATCTTATTTACAGTCTTACATTGCAAATTCATAATAGCACAAACTTTTATTTACTTTGCAAGTGAGTTATTGAACTTCAATGTATTTTTCACATAAACTTAATCTCAAACTTACCACAAGTAATCAGTATCTGAAGCTTTCCTTAAATATTTGCACGTATTACCGATAGCAATAATATCAGGTACATCACAATATAATAAGATTTTTACCCAAATTTCTTCAGGGAAGATCGAAGGATCCATAATTATTAATAAAAGTTATACAAAAGATATAATAATTAATAGTTACTAATACAAGATTGCAGACACTCCCCACAAACAGTGAATACGTGAGTCAAGTTCAAGGTTACAATGGTGAAAATAGCGAATCAATATGTTATCGACGGATGATACTTCAATAAGAATTACTACAATGATAATAATAAAACCAGCAATAAACATTACTTATTAAAGATGTTATCACAAATATTTACAAGGTAGCTTTCATATTTAATGAATTTTTAATCTCATGATCTATAAGTTTGCTGCTATTCGTTATCTTAGCATAGAAGAATGGAGTAGAATGAAAAGCAAGACTTTTAAAATGTCTGAATATACATGATACTCTGTTTATAACTTTATAATTATATAAAAATAACAATAGCTATATATAGGACATAAGGGTATTTTATTTCCAATCCCATATATAAAGTACTTCATCTGTGGTAAAGGTATCATATTTTTGAAGATAACTTGTATTGTGATTTTGTTAAATATCTGAGATCAGTGGTACAGCTATATTTATTCGAAAGATATTTTTATTATAAAAAACCTGTTATATATACATAGATATATATATAACAAGCATTATATATACAATAGTATCAAAAATTATGATTCAATACAGGATTTGTAAAACAACAGTGTACCTTTTTTATACCTAAATTAGTAATACTCATGTGATTAATACTGGATAGTACTTTTATAAAGTAATTGTTTTACATGAAGTTAAGAAGCTGATAGGAGTGTCTTTATATAGGGATTTTCGTGAGATAGAACTTCTCTTTTAAATGTTGAAATTTTATCTTCCAGTTCCGCATCAGATAATGATTTATCTAAATTCCTGCATTTACTAATAAATTCTGCAATAAGAACTTCAGCTTCCTGTAACATTATTAAAGATTAGATTATATCAGCAATATTTAAGATTTTTATATGTTTCTAACAAAAATATGATTACCTTTATAATATCTTTTTTTTTTTGTGGATTATCAGAACCTTCAAAAACTGAGTCTTGGTAATCTTCAAGCTCTGCTTGTTTACGCTTAGCAAACTAAATGAAATATTTGTTTTCTTATCATTAATATGGCAAAATTAAAATTTAGAAATATAAATCAAGACATGTTTTACCTCTATAACATCTTGTGGGAAATTAGCCATTTTAGCGACATGTATGCCAAAACTTTGATCACATATACCAGGTTTTACTTTATATAATAAAGTTAATTTATTATCGTCTACAAGGGCTGTAACGTGTTGATTTTTAACGGCAGATACTTCTTCTTCTAATTTAGTTATTTCATGAAAATGTGTCGCAAAAAGACAGTAGCATTTGATTTCTTTTGCTAAATATCTGCAAAAAATTTTATTGTTATAAATTATACAGAAAAATAAAAATTTGTGATAAAATCAGAAGATTGTTCATATATTACTCGGCGATTGACCATGCTATACCGCAACCTTCATAAGTAGAAGTTCCTCTGCCTAATTCGTCAATTAACACGAGGGAATTACAAGTTGCTGTCTATCGAAATCGTATAAAATATAAATGTATACATATTATTCAATATTTAATGCTATAAATATCATCAATTTACTTTTAATATAGCAGCAGTTTCTATCATTTCCATCATAAATGTAGAAAGCCCTTTTAATTGAGAATCATCAGCTCCTACACGGGCTAATATACAATCCAATAATGATATTCTTGCTTGATCGCAAGGAACAAAGCTTCCAATATGTGCCATTAAAGCACTGACACCAGCAGATCTTATATAGGTGCTTTTACCTCCCATATTTGGACCAGTTATGATGCGAAAATGACATTCGCCTATAATTTTAGAAATTATTATATGCTACATTTATCAAAATAATATATGAGACAATATTTTTAAAAATTACCTCTTTTAAAACTGATATCATTAGCTATAAAATCTACTCCTTCTTGAATTTCCAAACATGGATGTCGAACTTGAGTAAGATTAAACTCACCAGCTTCGGTAGGTAGCATTTCAGGACGTACATATGGTTTATTAGCACTTACAGCAACAGAAGCAAAAGCAGTAAGTACATCAAGAGATGCCAATACATTTCCAATAGCTTTTATTGTACTACTGTAACCGGCTGTCCAAGAGATAGTAATACAATGATATAAACGTGTATTTGTTTTATTGTCTAATTGCATTTTAGTTAATATATATATATATATATGTAATATATAATATATAAATATTATATATATATATATGTAATATATAATATATAAAATACCTGCAATTTCAATTATTTCTGTAACAACCTTTTTTTGTTCCACTGTATATTTATCTCTAGCAACAATGTATTCATCATTTAAATCATTTAATTTATTGCTTCGAAATCGTACACCGCTTTTATTAGAATCCAGAATAATATACTGTTTCTTATTTCTTAGTACTTTTTCTTCTTTCAATGTTACACGAAAATAATATCCAAGCTGTTGATTTGATTCTAGTTTTAGAGTTTTTCCAGCTTCGATTGAAAGATCATTAGCAACTTTACCCAATTGAGATTGTAATTTCGCTTCCACTTCATCCATAGTATTTTTTAATTCTAATATCAATATGTATAAATTTATACGTAAAAAACATATTTACATGTATAGCACAATGAAATGAAAGATTGTATAAGTACCTTTCAATTCATCATCAAATTCGGCTCGTACTAAGAAATCTCCTTTTTCGGCGGAATCTAAATCAATTGTTTGTTCAACCATTTGTTGAAATTTGTCCATGTCTGTAATAAGTTCACTCAAAGGATCACTGAACATTGTTTTTAAGGCTATTACGTTTATATTAGAAAGCTGTTCTAATAATCTAGGCAAATGTGATATACACATGTAAATCCTAAAATAAAACCAATATAAATATATATATATATATATATATTATATACTATATATATACTATATATATATATATACTAATATATATGTATATGTATATATATATATATATATATATGTATATATATATATATATACATATATATATAGTTATATTATATACTGTAAATACATTATTTACTTATAAAGGTCTTGTAAAGTTGATTTTTTTCTGGCCAATTTTTTTGCAAGCACTTGCAAATCCGGTATGCGTCTTAAATGATCTTCACTAAGATTAGTCCGTAATTCATTATCATTCACTAGTGTTTCAACAATATCATGTCTTTCTTTTATAAGACATAAATCTTTTAAAGGTTGTCTAATCCATTGTGCAAGCAATCTATGACCTTGTGATGTCCTACATTTATCCAAAATGCCCAAAATACTTGTAGGTGCGTTTCCATTTAAAATAGAGGAGGTATCAACGCGTGATTCGATATTAAGTGCTTTTATAGCAGCTGAATCTAGCTTTAAATAACGTGACTCCTTTATTTGGTCTATAGCAAATTGATTTAAATTTCCTTCATCTGATGTTAACTAGTAGAAAATTATCAAATTAAATTAAAATATTTTGTCTTTATTAATATAATATACTTACATCTAAATATTTAATAAGCGCAGAAGTAGCTGACATAGCAAAGCTTAAATTGATTTCAGGTAAAGACTGTACATTTTGTTGTTGACCTTTCTTGAATTTTATTAAAGTATTTAAATCTTGTATAACTGATTCACTAGAAAATTCACTTCTTTTTCTTGTAGTAACCATTACATTATTTCGTTCCATGACCTAAAAGATGGAAGAAAGGAAAAAAACAAATAAATGTTCCATTCATATCATTAAGATTTTTAGTTCAACTGTTTTATACGAAAGAGATGTCTTATCTGTTTACTTGTTTAAGAGTTTGGAATTCATAGCTGCCTTCACCTTGAATTAATAAACATTCTTTGGGAGCGAGTGTAACAACCATTGATTCCAAATTGGAAAATGATTCATTGTCTTGAAATTCACAAACAGAAAATGAAGTTGCTGTAGTATCTACACAGCTTAAGCCAACAATCTAAGAAAATGATAAAGTATATATATATATATACTATTGTATATATATATATATATATATATATATATATATATATATATATATATATATATATATATATATATATATATATATATATATATATATATATATATATATATATATATATATATATATATATATATATATATATATATATATATATATATATATATATATATATATATATATATATATATATATATATATATATATATATATATATATATATATATATATATATATATATATATATATATATATATATATATATATATATATATATATATATATATATATATATATATATATATATATATATATATATATATATATATATATATATATATATATATATATATATATATATATATATATATATATATATATATATATATATATATATATATATATATATATATATATATATATATATATATATATATATATATATATATATATATATATATATATATATATACAATATTATGATATAATATAATATAATATAACAATATATATAATAAAACTACTTATAAAAACTTTTCAACAAAAAGTTTATCGCATGGTTATTTACTACTACTCACTCTAGATTTTGCCTCCATTCCTAATTTCACTGCTATGACATGTACACTAACAGCAACATCGTTATTGCCAAACAGTGTATCTTCAAATTGTGTTAAATTTCCAGGAGAACCTTTATATTCTAATACCCAATTTTGATTTTTTGCTGATCCTTGATTAACATAAACTTCTACTCTGTATTGTTTTACTAACAGTAGATCACGTATAAAAGATTCAAAATGATTTTTGTTAAGAATAACACCCTCGGTTTTATATGGATCTGCATTGTACAGAAATTTTTTTAGATAAGTACATAATAAATTAGTAAAAGTATAGAATAAACAGAATAAAGGTTTCTTAATAATCCTTACTAGTAATACAGTTAAATAAATATTTTAAAGTTGAATTTCAGAACTTACCAGCTCCTATCATCTTACAAACTGACGTAGTTTTAAAAACTTCTTGTGCAGCAAATAAAGCATCATTACCATGTAATGTGTAATAATCTGATCTATTAAAAAATCGTATAGTGGTATTAAGTTTCTGAAATCAATCAGTATTTGATTACATACATATATTTTAAATTTAAAATCTGAGGATTAATAATATAATGGTATATAATATATTATAATGAGACTACCTATCCAGAATTATATCATATGATATTATCTTTAGATATATTCTTGACCTATTTTTATAACTTACTCATTTTCATGACTGATATTCCTAAAGTAACACAAATTTGTAAATATTATAATTCTGCAGAGACACAAAATTAAAAAATAAAGTTAATTTTTGGAAATTGTTAGACATATGAACGTTTAACATGAAAATTGTAATTATTACCAAATCATAATTATTACACTTGTTTTCAAGAAAATGAAGAATCTCATTACATATCTGTAGGTCAATGTCTATCTAGGGTCAAAATGTCATGAATTGATATTAATGTAATACGTATGAGTTCAAGGAAATCTGATATATTGTGGAAAAGATGTATCAATTTAACGTATTACATTAATATGACATCATTGAATAATTATATATACATTTAATTTTTTATTATCTTTAAAATATATTTAAAAGTTTTGAAACTATTAGTTTAATAAAATATTAATATAAAATTATATACTAATTTAATAACGAATAATATGAAAATAATATAGATATCACTAATAGTTCATACAGAAGATCAAAATATCATATACAAATATGTTAGTATAATATGAAATTTAAAAATAATTTGTGAATAGAAAAATTAAGAAAATTTGTTAATGGCATTATCTTGGAAGCATTATTTTTATTGTGATAAAAGATCAAAGTTCATGTTCCAGGAAGGTCAGTAATATATGGCGTATGTAAGTAGGCCATTAAAAACATTATGAACTATTTCAATTCCTTATATTATATTCCTTATATTGTTTAAGCAATATCTTGTTAAATACATTATTATATGAGTATAAGAAACTTTTATACTAAATATGTAGTATAAAATAAAGGGAATTGTATTTCTTTCAAATAATGCTACAACATATAAATACAATGAAAGATACACCTATCTTAGAATTAAAAATAGAACATTTGTCTCATTGATGTATCTCAGTAATCATTTTAATCTGTCTCCTTGAAGTTCTACCTATTATGAAATAGGAATAAATTACCATATTGCAACAAGGATGTTATACATTGAGGATGACATCATTGATGATACATCAAATCAAATTTGCAGCTGTTAGTGGAAACTATTTATGTAATTATTATCAGGAAATTAAAGAAATATATTTATATATCTATGAGAAACATAAGTAAATATAATGAAATAAAATATTATATATTTATAAAATTATTAATATAGCAACAGCTTCTTTTTCCTTTAATTACAATTCATGAAGTAGTTTATTATAAATTTTCATGAATATAATAAAGTATATAATACAAGCTTCTCAAAATTATTTCATATTAAATATTTGAATTAAAATACGTATGTATGGTATCTTGAATAAAAATTAAATGGATCTTTCTAGCTAATACAAAACATATATTAGAAACTGTTTGTCTGCTTTTCTCTTCTGTTACTGTGAATTATTAGTTGTGATAAGAATGTATGTACATAACTGGGATAAATGCACAGAAAATATTATCACCATGTAAGAATGAAAGAGAATGTTTTCAAAGAAGTGATGAAGAAGGGGGAGCTAACATAAATGGAATTGCTCCAACTTGCATATAGTACATATCAACATATACTGCCACTGAGATCATTTCAATCGTCAATTCTTAAGTGGATTTTGATCTTTCACCACATGGTAATTAAATTTATAATTTTAACTTAATAACAGATACAGAGTACTAATTTTATCGTACATATAATATTTCTTTAAGTGTTATTTTTGTTCCTTAACGAATAATATGTAAAATATATTTTATAATAATATAAAAATTTATTTACATGCGTTTTTCATAAAAAATAGCTAAAACAATTTTATATTTTCAGAGATCAAATTAGTAACATGGTGGCACAAAGTATTGTCATTTTATCTTTATTAATAACATACGCATTATCTGCACCAACTGGATGCATAGAATCTTGTATTTCTTATGTTAAACAATATCAAACACAAACTTCTGGTGGTTTGTCACAAACCGCGTCACATTTACAAGGCCTTGACTATTCAAAACCTGGCACATGGTCTGAACATAATGACTATGATATAGACAATGGACATGGAAAAGTGCATGAAGAACGTGGTCAATATGTCACAGGTCCCAAAACAGTAAGATATTATAGGAAAAATTCTTCTTCTTCTTACAGTACAGGATATCCTAATGGTGAAATATTATCAGATTTTGAATATCAGAATAATAGACATGGTATACATTTACCCAATACTCAAGAAGTTTTTAATTCTCACAACACTTACAACCAAATGGGTAATTCCGAATCAGTTGCACAACATAAGTATAATAAAATACAGAGTCAACAACACACTCGATCATCATACACTAAAGGTGAAAGACTTGAAGATCTTGGAGAATACAGTGGAAGATCACAAGTGATTCCGCAAAGTACATCTAACTTGCATACACAAATTTTACAAGAACCTTATCATTTTAATGGACAGCATGGAAATTGGAGTACAGTAGATTCTTATAAAACTGATGGAGGACGTGGCCATGTATTTGAAGAAGAAGGTCAATATGTATCAGGACCTCAAAAGGTTCGTTACTATAAAAGGAATTATACTTCTAGTTACAGTTCATCTGATGGAATTCCTATTCCTAAAATCACAAAAATTGGAATGCACGATATACACCAGAAACTAGAGAAAATCGAAAAAGAAATAGGGCAAGAATTCAAACATATTTCTACAGCAGAGGCTGTGGGATCCACCAACATTGGACAGGCACATATTAGTTCTCATGATTTGTCTATTGATAACATGCATAATATAAACAATAATAATTATAGAAGACAACATAACCACAGGAATAGTTTACCTACGACACATAATGAAGAACAGTATTCCTCAGACATTAGAAATGAACATTTACCTTATAGGAATCCTTACCAAAATACTTATGGTACAAACAGCTACAGTACATATGAAAGGCACGAAGAATATGCACAAAAACTTCAACCAACTAGTCAACTTATTAATCCAACATCAGGATATACTAGTGTACTCAATACTGGAAACAGTGGTTATAATAGGAATATATATAGTGGATCAACTTCACAACAGCAAACAGATAATTATCAGCAGGCAGAAATGTTAGATGCACATCAATCTAGACAAATCGCACAGACCCAAACGTTTCTTGACAATTTGAGAAACAATGCACAAAGTCAAAGTAGCGGGATCCAATCAGGCATGCAAGGTGTATCTCACTACAAAGAACATTGGAATGCTAGTCATACAAAAGAAGTATCCATACCACAGCATACCACAGACATTTCACATATGAACCAGCACAGTCTCCAATATAATAATAATCAGTATGACAACAGACATAATTTACATCAAGGAATACAACAACAAGATAGTTATTTACATCAATTTAAAGAAGGTGGCTTTACCCATGGTAAAAAGATGTTAGACAAATTAATATCTGGTGTAGATACTGTGGACTGTGATTATAATTCACAATATACACAAAGTACCTCTCAATATTCAAGAAAATATAAGCGTCATGCAAAGTATGGTAAACAAGATGAAGTGCAACAAACACAAAATAAATACATCAATGATGATCTTACTCAACAGACTTCTGGAAAACTTGAGTTTGGTCAGGATTCGCAACAATCTTATCAACCTTGGAAACCACAGGGTGCCGATCAACAATTAGAGGATTTTACACAGAAGACAGGGGAATCTGATGATCTCACTCAACAAACATCAGGAAAACTTGAGTTTGGTCAGGATTCGCAACAATCTTATCAACCTTGGAAACCACAGGGTGCCGATCAACAATTAGAGGATTTTACACAGAAGACAGGGGAATCTGATGATCTCACTCAACAGACTTCTGGAAAACTTGAGTTTGGTCAGGATTCGCAACAATCTTATCAACCTTGGAAACCACAGGGTGCCGATCAACAATTAGAGGATTTTACACAGAAGACAGGGGAATCTGATGATCTCACTCAACAGACTTCTGGAAAACTTGAGTTTGGTCAGGATTCGCAACAATCTTATCAACCTTGGAAACCACAGGGTGCCGATCAACAATTAGAGGATTTTACACAGAAGACAGGGGAATCTGATGATCTCACTCAACAGACTTCTGGAAAACTTGAGTTTGGTCAGGATTCGCAACAATCTTATCAACCGTGGAAACGATACAGTGTCAATCATCACACAGAAAATCTTACACAAAAAGCAGGAAGATCTGATGACTTTACTCAACAAACTTCTGGAAAACTTAAATTAGACCAGGAATCACAACAATCCCATAAACCTTGGAATCTACACAATACAATTCAACAATTAGAAGATCTTATTCAAAAAACAAAGGAATCTGATGACCTTACACAGCAAACTCCTGGAAATACAGAATTTGATCAAGAATTACAAAAATCAGATAAACCTTGGAATATATACAGTACAATCCAACAATTAGAGGACTTCATACAAAAAACTAGGGAATCTAATGACTTCACTCAACAAGCATTTGGAAATGTGGAATTTGACCAGGAAACACAAAAATCAGACAAATCATTGAATATATACAGTACAATCCACCAGTTAGAAGACCTTATACAAAAAACCACGGAATCTGATGATTTCACTCAACAAACATCTGGAAAACTTGAATTTAGTCAAGAATCACAACAGTCTCCAAAAACGTGGAACCTACATGATACTATTCAACAATTGGAAGACCTTATTCAAAAAACAAGGGAATCTAATGACCCTACCTTACAATCATCTGAAAAAGTCGAATTTGTCCAAAACTCACAGCAACCTCATGATTCTTGGAAACCACAGAGTGCAAGTCAACAATTAGAAGATTTTACACAGAAAACAGGGAAATTTGATGATTTTACTCAACAAACTTCTGGACAACTTGAGTTTGGACAGGATTCACAACAATCTTTTCAATCTTGGAAGCCAGAGAGCGCAAGTCAACAATTAGGAGATTTTGCGCAGAAAACAGGGGAATCTGATGATCTCATTCATCAAACCTCAGGAAAACTTGAGTTTGGTCAGGATTCTCAACAATATTTTCAACCTTGGAAGCCAGAGAGCGCAAGCCAACAATTAGGAGATCTTACACAGAAAAGAGGGGAATCTGATGATCTTATTCAACAATCATCTGGAAAAGTCGAATTTGGCCAAAACTCACAGCAATCTCATCAATCTCGGAAACCACAGGGTGCCGATCAACAATTAGGAGATTTTACACAGAAAACAGGAGAATCCGATGATTTTACTCAACAAATCTCTGGAAAACTTGAGTTTGGTCAGGATTCGCAACAATCTTATCAACCCTGGAAACCACAGGGTGCCGATCAACAATTAGGAGATTTTACACAGAAAGCAGGGGAATCCGATGATTTTACTCAACAAACCTCTGGAAAACTTGAGTTTGGTCAGGATTCGCAACAATCTTATCAACC